CTTTTGGAATTGACTTGCTCAGAATAAAGCACAGCTAAAAGCAGAAGTATTTAATCAGTTTACATGATACTATTCTAATAATGTATTTTATTTTTCATTATTTTCATTATCTGGGTGCGTACTCATTTTATAGCAGGTAATGAACGAAACAGAAAAGATACATTTCATTATCTTATCACATGCGCAGGATGACTCTTTCTCGATAGTGTATATGTTACCGGGAATGTAGGAAATCGGGGAATATATACATACCCTGATTTCCTACATTCCCTGTAACATATGAGTGATTCTGGTGATTTTTGTACCGTTTTTAAAGAAAAAAATGACCCAAAACGAAAGTGTCCAAGAAAATATTTTAACACTCTAGATTTATAGAGGGTACTTGAAAGTCTAGAAAAAACTCTGTTTCTAAACTGCCAAGTCCTTCTCAGCCCAAATCCTGGTTGTTCACTTTTTGACTCAGGATCGAAAATGCGATTTTCTCTGCTTTTCAGCTAAAAAGGCATAACTGAGCTTAAAAATGTATTGAAACATAGGTTTTCACATCTGCCCTATCAACTGGCATCCTTAAAAAATGGTTTTTGACAATTTCTAGCCTTGGGCCTCTAGAAATCCAGGTTTTCTGGAAATTCTTTGCTGAGCTGATTTTCAGAAAACTGAACCGACCATTCAATTCAGGGTGTCAAAATACGTATAATCGTATAATATGAGGCTTTATGTACTGGCCAAAACAATTCTAGAGATATGTTTGGGAGTGGGAGAAAAGTTAGGAGTGGGACATTTTGATGTATTTTTCAAATTTCTTCCTTTAGAAATAAGCTGAAGCCTTGCTATTTACAGTATAACTTGTGCTACCCATTTGACACCTATGGTAAAAAAAACGAGTTCTCAATACCATGTAGTTCGTTCAGGGGAGAGTCAAAAGGGGGTGGGACAAATTGTATGTCACAAGCCACTGGACGTCAGTAAAATGTCAATTACTCAAAAACGAAAAAAGCAACTTGCGGTTTTCAACAATCTATAGTGCCTACTTTGGTAAATCCTTTCATAGAAAAATATTTGACTTAAAGTGTTTATTGGCTGCGCAGTAGACTCGAACGGGGGTGGGACACGATTTTTGAACTTTTCGAGGACCAGAAATTTCATCGAAGTTTTCACAGAAACTAAAAGAGATTAGGCAAAACTAAGGCTGCAGATTGACAGAGCAGATAAAATACTGCACAAAAAGCAAAAAAGATTTTGTTCCACTGCTCCTTAAGAAAAGAAAAATGTTAATTAAGAAAAAAGAACGTGCAGAAACCACTAAGAAAAGAAAGGAAAAAGAACCCAAAAACAAAGTGTTTTGCTCACTGTACACTAAGGAAATAAGACAGAAAAGAGATCTTAGCAGTATATATAGAGTAAAGTGTTCGGAATAAAATGGCATAAGCTTCTAAAAGTTCGATTTAGTATTAACGGAGAACCATGCATTTCCATTAGCTTAAATCGAACGGTACACAAATCACCAGAATCACTCATATATATGCATACATTTTCCATTGGACTCTTTCTCGCTTCTTCATGCGCAACATTTATGTGTGCTCAGTGGAAAAGAGAATTTACTTTCAATATGAAATATTTATTATGAATTTTACAAGGCTTACAAGTAAAAAAACTGAAAAATAGGAGTCTTTTATTTCAACTTTTACAAGATGAGTTCAAGAGGGGTCTTCTATTTAGAGAGCCTTTTCTTGCGGAGAGATCTTGTAATGTGTCTACCCCTTTACTCTGCAGTCTTCACTTCAAATACTATCCATGTCCAAGTTTATTGGCTTAAGTTTTTTGCTAAAACTATCCTTTCACACTTCATAGTTTCATATTTCACGATATTGTAGTTATTTTATGTTTTAGGCAAAACTCATCGTATTTTTACCAAGTATAAACGAGAAATACAGTCTGTATTAGTATAAACGATAAAATTAATTTATCAACATTATTAGCAACATTTTTATCATTAAACAGTACCATTGAAAACAATACAGATGAAATTCAAACGGTTTATTTCAATATATCTATTAATGCACCATTTGCAGAACTGAATCGTTTTTTATTTGGATTATTTATATCTGGAACGTTAATCGATTTGTCTAACGGTCTTACATTTTCATTAATAGACAGTGAAAGATGGCAATTCATTATTGAAGTACCGTATTTAGAAAAATTAAATAAAAAGGTTGAAGAAAATTTTGATTATTTGCTTCCATTATTATCAATATATCCACATAGTTCTGAAGAGGTAACAGCAAAAAATTATGAATTGTTTATCGGTGATAATGAAGAATTGGTTGCACGCTTTTTAAAAGCCTTTGAAGGTAAATCAATTGATCGTGCATTAACAATAAACATGGTTAATGGAACTGAAACATCAGTGGGATTTGCTCGCTTGCAAGATGATATTCAATGTTGTTTTCACACACATCGAATGCTGGATCATTATGCACCAGAAATTAGACAAAATAAAACATTTGAATTATCATTTACAAAATTCTTGTATCCTCGAATTCGCTTCTTTACGGGACCATATTATACATTGAATCAAACCATCAGTAATTTGGGCTCAATAGTTATGGAACAAATGTTGAAGAATCTAAAAATCTTGTTAAGATTGATTTTTTAATACCAATAAAACATACAGTTTTTTGTGTTTTTGTACCTCAAAAGTGGAAGAAGAAGAATATCCCACCTTGCGGATACCGTTACCAGTGTATGGTGATCCGAGGCCTAAGACATAAGTAACGTGCCTAAGGTAATCACTTGACTTTGCTGGTGCCGAGATTCGAACACCGTACCTTTGAAGTATGTGACGAACAGCGTAATCATCAAGCCATACTGCACTCGTCAAAGTGACGAACGGCTTCAACTACTAGTAATATTGGTGTCTAGAATGAATGCAAAAGCTACTATTAGGACTATATGTATTGTGAAAAAACTGTTTTCTTAACAAAATTGAGTAAGATGTTGTTTTGGCTTCCATCGACCAAAGCTCTTAAAACTCCCATGCAGAAAATCATAACTCTATCACTAACGTTTTCCAGCCCTTAGAAAGGATAAGACGAATAGGGAGGCGCTAACACTAACTCCAACAAGACAATAAGAGCAAGGCACCAAGAAACTGTCATCCAAAGTGTGGTCCCAAATTGTTAATTACCAAGTACGACTACCGGCCGTAGTCGAGACGGTGACAGATAGAAGAAACAGCAAAGCTTAGGGTGCCACTCTACTTTCAGCGTTATATTTTTAATCAATCTAACAATCCGTCTCTGCTCTTCTATGTGAGTTTGTTACTTCTGCTGAGAGTAGAAGATACTTGACTTTTTTGTGCGAGCACCCTGTTTAATTAAAATTGGAAATAGACTGCCAAAATTTTCCAAAAAAAGGAAGGTATCTAAGTCGTAGTCTGGTCGTTGCTACAAGTCTAAAATGCTCGACAATTCTTGAACAGTATCGGCATGTATTAGTTCTCAACGACGCTATGCTAATAAACTTTTTTTGACGATCTAATGTGTTTATTTACAGGTAGAGAAAATGAAGAAGCTTGCAATAATCGACAAATGACAACGACAGATGAAAATACAACCGAATACGTCACAGAAAAATTGCGAAAAAATTTGTGTCGTCAAATACATAATGATAAAATTTTAAGAGAAATTGTAAATGAACTTGGAGAAGAATTAATTGAAACATATTCTCAAGATTTAATTCGTACTTTTTGTACAATAACAGAAAAATCGTCAAATATTGATAATGAATTAGAAAATAACAACAAACGTGAAAAAACAATTGAATTTCTCTCGAAATGGTTACAAATAATAGACAACGATTATATGACAGAATATGATAAATGTTTGAATAAAAATATTTGGCTATTATCGTATATATATACTTCCTTTGAATACAAAAAGAATGATTTAATGTCGCTGTATACAGCATGTCGGACATTGAATAATTTAAATATACAGAATAATATTCCGTCTCAAGATTTTGGACGAGTGCAATTTCATGAATATATATTTAGTTCAATGTTTAATTGCTTATGCTCAAATGGACATTATTTGTACTGTTTAGCTACTATTGTTGTTAACAGCCGCTATTGTTAGCATGATCCAAAGACCTCTATCTGTCTGCTCACACTATTCTTTACTCAATCATGAATTTGATCACATTAAATGTATTGCTAGAAAAAAATGTTTATCTGTTGTCATTTGTTGACATACGAATTGGAACAGGACTTACAAAATGATTTCAAAAAGATAAACAGAAGGGCATAATTGCATCCATGATTGGACCTGAAAAGAAACGAATCTATATGGAAATCCCTTAAATTGGGAACTGTACATACATTTTGGAAAAGAAACTGAAGCGGTTTGCAGGGAAAGTTCGACAAGATATAGACTTGCAATTTATCTCAAAGCCTCCACGGGCTATACAAACTTTCTTTCAAACGAAAGATAAAAGTCCAAAATATCTCCAGTCAGATATAGTTTATCTTCCTAAATGCAGTAACTGTGAAGATAGTTATATGGGAAAAACAGAACGTCGGGGTCTTCGTAGACTCGAGGAACATGGTGCTCCTAAAGGCTTGTTTCAAAAAGGTCTCAGTATACTTTCTGATGAAAAGTCTGATGAAGACATAGAATAAGATATTCCAGAGTCAAGACATCGAATTGGTCCTATAACAAAGAAACATCGAGCAGTTGTAATACCATACTCTACTAATCCAAGACGATCATCTAGAATACGAAATCACCACTCACTATTAACTTCTCAAATAAGCTTGTCTCAACATCTTACTAGCAGTTTTTTAACAAAATGTATAACTCATACGATAGACCAGATAATGAACCAAGAAAACTAAAATCTTCATTAGGACAACATGAGACGAATACAGGTCATACAATAGAATGGCTAAATTCTAAAGTTATCTTTACTGATAGTAACTCGTATCGTTTATTGATCAAAGAAAGTTTAGTCATCAAATCGCTTAAACCTACCTTGAATCGTACAACGCATTCGGTGCCTATGGTAATATTTCCAGAAGAATTAACGAACAGATGCTTTCCTATAGATCGTCGAAAGAAAGAAATGGAAGAAAAAATGACATCAAAATGAGCTATGATTTTTGCTGTGGGGACGTAAAGAAAAGAACAGAAAAAGAAAGTAAAAGAAATTTAGTCTATGGGTACTTCCGCCCAGGTCCGCTCAGGTCCGCCCAGTATTACATTAGCTAAAAGCCGGGAGGGTTTGACTATATGCAATCGATAGTCCTACTAAAGGTGTGTAAAGACCCCTGTCGTCCCATGGAAAAATTATTCCGAACATGGTTTTTCCGCGGCCATAAGTTCTGAATTGAAG